TGTCCTGTAGCCTGTTCTCTGAGCTTTGGGGCCTAGGTCCTGTGGTCTGCGGCCTGTGTCCTGTGTCCTATGTCATGTAGCCTGTGTCCTGTAGCCTGTGTCCTTAACCCTGCAGCCTTTGTCCTGTGGCCTCTGTCCTATAGCCAGTGGCCTGTGTCCTGTTCCCCTTTTCCTTCAGTCTGTATCGTGTAGCCTGTGTCCTGTGTCCTCTGTCATGTATCCTGTGTCATGCATCCTGTGTCCTGTGCCCTGTATTCTGTATCCTTTAACAAGTGTCCTTTAATCTGTGTCCTCTGTTGTGTATCCTGTGTCCTATATTCAGTCTCCTGTAGCTTGTGGCCTATGCCATCAGCCTTTGTCCTGTACCTGTGGCCTCTGTCCTATGGCCTGTGTCCTGTATCTTTTTTCCTGTGTCCTTCAGCCTGTGTCATGTAACCTGCATCCTCTGTCTTGTAGCCTGTGGCCTATGTATGCATTGAGTATCCTGTGTCCTGTGTCCTATGTCTTGTATCCTGTGTTCTATATCCTTTGTCCTATGGTGTGTAACCTATGTCCCATAGCCTGTGTTCTAGCCTGTGTCCTGGGTTCCATGTTCTGTGTCCAGTATCCTGTGCCGTATATCCTCTGGCCTATGCCCTGAATGCTTAGCTTGTGTTCTATCTTGTGTAGCTTGTGTCCTGTAGCCTGTGTGCTGTAGCCTGTGTTCATGTCCTCTACCCTGTGTTTTGTGTTCAGTAGTCTGTGTCCTATATCCTGCAGCTGTGGCCTTTGTCCTGTGGACGGAGTGCTGTACACTGTGGCCTCTTTGCTGTGTCCTGTAGCCAGTGTCCTCGGACTTTAGCCTGTGTCCTGTGTCCTGTATCCTGAGTGCTGTAGCCTGTCCTTGTGTCCTGTAGCCTGTGTCCTGTTTCCTATGTTGTTTAGCCTTTGTCCTATTTCCTGTAGCCTATAACCTGTGTCTTGTAGCCTATGTACTATATCCTGTAGCCTGTAACCTGTGTCTTATAGCCTGTGTGCTATATTCTTTATTCTGTGTCCTATATCCTTGTCCTGTTTCATCTGGGCTATGTTCTGTGTCCTGTAGCATGTGGCCTCTGTGCTGTAGCCTGTGTCCTGTGGCCTATGTACTGTGTTCTGGGTCCTGTAGCCTGTGTCTTATGTCCTGTGTTCTGGGTCCTGTAGCCTGTGTATTGTGTCTGGTAGTCTGTGACATAAGTCACAGGACACAGGCTACAGCACAGAGGCCACAGGACACAGGACATAGCTCAGATGACACAGGACACAGGATATAGGACACAGAATATGGAACCCAGGACACAGCCTAGAGAACACAGGCTACGGGACACAGGTTGCAGGACACAGGACATAGGCGACAAGCTACAGGGCACAGGACACCGGCTCCAGGAGACAGGACACAGGCTACACAATCTAGGACACAGTCTACAGACCAAAGGACAGTGGCTACAGGACCCAGGTTACAGGACACTCTATCCTATAGCCAGTGTCCGTTGTCTTGTTCCCTCTTTCGTTCAGCCTGTGTATTGTAGCCTGTGTCCTGTGTCGTATAGCCTGCAGGCTGTATCCTTTGTTCTGTAGCTCTATCCTGTGTCCCACAGCCTCGTTCCTGGATCCTCTGTCCTGTGACCTGTGTCCTATGTTGTGTAGCCTGTGTCCTGTGTCTTGTACCTTGTGGCCTATGTACACATCCTGAATCCTGTGGCCTCTGTCCTCTAGCTGGTGTCCTGTGTCCCCTAGCCTGTGTCCTGTGTCCTGAGCCTGTGGCCTTTAATCTTTGTCCTAGGACTGGATTCCCCTTTGCTGTAGTCTGTGTTCTGTGTCCTGAAGCTGGTTTCTTGTAGCCTGTGGACAATGTCTTGTAGTGTGTGTCCTGTGTCCTGTAGCCTGTTCTCTGAGCTCTGGGGCCTAGGTCCTGTGGCCTGTGGCATTTGTCCTATGTAGTGCAGCCTGTGTCCTGTAGTCTGTGGCCTCTGTCCTGTGGTCTATATCCTATAGCATGTGTTCTCTGTTCTGAACATTGTCCTGGGTCTTGTAGCCTGTTGCTTTTGCCCTGCAGCCATTATACTGTGTCCTGTGGCCTCTGTACTATAGCTGGTGGCCTGTGTCTTGTTGCCCCTTTCCTTTTATGTGTGACATGTAGCCTGTGTCCTGTGTCGTGTATCCTGTGTCATGCATCCTGTGTCATGTAGCCTGTGTCCTGTAGTCTGCATCCTTTAACCAGTGTCCTTTAATCTTGCCCTGTGTCCTGTGTTGTGTATCCTGTGTCCTGTAGCCAGTCTCCTGCAGCATGAGGACTATGCTTTGCAGTCTTTGTCCTGTGTCCTGTGTTGTGTGTCCTCTGTCCTATAGCCTGTGTCCTGTGTCTTGTTTCCTGTGTCCTGCAGCCTTATGTAGACTGCATCCTCTGTCTTGTAGCCTGTGGCCTATGAATGCATTGAGTATCCTGTGTCCTGTGTCCTGTAGCCTCTGTCCTGCATCCTTTGTCCTGTGTCCTATGTCTTGTATCCTGTGTTCTATATCCTGTGGCCTCTAGCATGTAACCTATATCCCGTAGCTGTGTTTTAGCCTGTGTCCTGGGTTCTGCAGCCTCTGTCCTGCATCCTTTGTCCTGTGTCCTATGTCTTGTATCCTGTGTTCTATATCCTGTGGCGTCTAGCATGTAACCTATGCCCCGTAGCCTGTGTTCTAGCCTGTGTCCTGGGTTCTGTGTTCTGTGTCTTGTATCCTGTGTCCTGTATCCTCTGGCCTATGCCCTGAATGCTGTAGCTTGTGTTATATCTTGTGTAGCCTGTGTCCTGTAGCCTGTGTGCTGCAGGTGTGTTCATGTCCTGTAGTCTGTGTCCTATATTCTGTAGCTATTGCATCTGGCGCCCCAACTGGGACTAGAAACCAGTGTGCTGCCGCTGCAGGTGGAGGATTAGCATAGTAAATCGCAGCGCCAGCCCACGATAAATTTTAAAAGAAAAAGGAAACAGACCAGGAGTCTCTCCAGTGCCAGAAGACTTCCTGCAGGCAGCAGGAGAGGGAGTAACAGATGAGTGCATGGGGCTGTGGTGAGCTCGGGGCTCGGGGTCCGTGCTGTCGAGAGAGCACAGCACAAGGGACAGTGTGTCCCGAGAGCACAGTGCTGGGGGCCATGGTAAGCTGTGGGCCATGGTGGAGCACAGTGCAGGGGAGGTGGTGAGCTGGGGGCCATGGAGGAGCACAGGGCAGGGGGCCGTGGTGAGCTGGGGGCCATGGAGGAGCACAGTGCAAGGGCAGTTGTGAGCTCGGGCCTGTGGTGTCCTAAGAGCGCAGTGCACGGGACAGCTCACCACGGCCGCAGAGCTCACTGCCACCCTCTGCACTGAGCTCCCGAGGGCCAGACCCCAGGCAGGGGTAGAAAACCTCTGGAGAACCTGACTAGCCCTAAGAGAAGACTGGACAGTGACCGTGGGGCCTTCCTTAAGGCCTGGGCAGATGACCGACCGAAGGCAGATCCACACGCACCTCCCGGACAGCCAGCTCAGAGCGGGGTGGAAGGCGATGTTTTCTGAGTCACAGCAGGGCCCGAGGCGGGAGCTCAAGTCCTCATGTCCCTGCCTCCCACCCCAGACCAGGTGGAGCTCCCGGCTCCCAGCTGTTTGTGGGTGTTTGGGAAGTGAGCCAGTGAATGGAGCTATCTCTTTCACTCTCCAATAAATAAAAATGAAGCTAAAAAATGAAACCAACCCCCTGCGATCACACACACACAGGACACTCCTTATGGCATCAGGGTTCCACGTGGCACCTGCTGGGGTTGCTCTCAGGAAACCGGCCATCCCCCCCCCTCCCCAGGGAACCAGGGGTGCAGCCCTGCACCTGCTCCCGATTCTTCCCAGGGTGGCATCTGCAGTCCCCATTCATGGGCTCACCCACCACCACGTCTGCTTCTGCCCCTCCTCACCGGGACGGGGTTGTGACACAGCGGGCTCACTGGGACCCGGGCATCCTGGACCTCATCCAGGAGCCTGGGCCACACTCCCCTCCTCCCCTTCCAGGGCATGGGCACCCCTCCCATCCCAGCCCTCCAGGGCCAGGCCCCACTACCCTCAGTGCCCTATAGGGCCAGACCCTGCTCCACTCCTCATCCTCCTGGGCCTAGCCCTGCTCCCCTTTTTGCCCTCCAGGGCCAGGCCCTACTCTTCTCAAAGCCCTCCAGAGCTGGATGCCGATCTCCTTCTCACCCTCCAGGGTCTGCACCTCACTCCCTCCTCGCCCTCCAGGGCCTGGGCCCCTCCCATCGCATCCCGCCAGGGCTGGGCCCCTTCCCATCACATACCTCCAGGGAAGGGCCCCACTGCCATCAAAACCCTAGAGGGCCAGACCCTGATCCACTCCTAGACCTCCAGGGCCTGGGCTCCACTCCAATGCTCGCCCTCCAGGCCTAGGTCGCACACCCCTCCTCACCCTCCAGGGCCTGGGCCCCACCCCCCTCACCCTCCATTTCTCTCTCTCCAGGGCTGGGCCATGCTCCCAAGCTCGCATCCAAGGTCAGACTCTGCTCCCCTCCTCACCCTTCAGGACCTGGGCCCTGCCCCCCACACTGCTCTCCAGGGCTGGGCCCCACTCCCCTCAAGGCCCCCCAGGGCCGGACGCTGCCCCCTCCTCACCCTCCAGGGCCTGGGCACGCTCTGCTTGCTGCCCTCCAGGGCTGGACCCTGTTTCTCCTCCTTGCCTTCCAGGGCCGGACCCCACTGCCCTCAAGGCCCTCCAGGGTTGGACCTGCTCCACTCCTAGACCTCCATGGATTGGACTCCACTCCCCACGCTGCCATCCATGGCCCAGCCCCACTCCCCTCAACACCCTCTAGGGCTGGACCCCACACCCCTCCTCACCCTCCAGGGCCTTGGCCCCATTCCCCTCCTTGCCCTCCAATGCCAGTGCCTGCTCTCCTCCTCACCATCCAGGGTTGACCTGACACTTTCTTGTTGAGAAAATAAAGTGGAGGAAAAGAGACAATATTGCAGGGAACCAAACCTTTTATTCTGTAACAGGGTTAGATCCAGAAAGGTCTCTGGACCTGGGACAATCTCTGCTTTGATTTGGAAACATTGCTCATGGCTCGGTGAGGTCTCAACAGTGAGGCTGTGAGCATGAAGTGGCCTTTGTCCTTTGTCCTATAGACTGTGTCCTTTCGTGTATGTCCTATGTCTTGTGTCCTGTAGGTCCAAGGTCCAGAGACCTTTCTGCAGCTAACCCTGTTACAGAATAAAAGGTTCGGTTCCCTGCAATATTATCTCTTTTCCTCTGCTTTATTTTTCTCAACAAGAAAGTGTCAGCTCAACCAGTGGTGCGAGAGGAGGAGATCAGGCACTGGCCTTTGTCCTTTGTGACATAAGTCACATGACACATGCTACAGGACAGAAGCCACAGGCTACAGGACATAGGCTAAAGGCTACAGGACACAGCCTACAGGCTACGGGAGACAGGACAGAGGACACAGGCTACAGGACACAGGACATAGCCCAGATGACACAGGACACAGGATATAGGACACAGAATATGGAACCTAGGACACAGCCTAGAGGACACAGCCTACGGGACACAGATTGCAGGACACAGGACATAGGCGACAAGCTACAGGGCACAGGACAGAGGCCACAGGACACAGGACACAGGCTCCACAATCTAGGACACAGGCCAGAGGCCACAGGACAGTGGCTACAGGACACAGGCTACAGGACACTCTATCCTATAGCCAGTGTCCGTTGTCTTGTTCCCTCTTTCCTTCACCCTGTGTCGTGTAGGCTGTGTCCTGTGTCATGTAGCCTGTGGCCTATATCCTTTGTTCTGTAGCTCTGTCCTGTGTCCCATAGCCTCTGTCCTGGAGCCTCTGTCCTGTGTCCTGTGTCCTATGTTGTGTAGCCTGTGTCCTGTGTCTTGTACCCTGTGGCCTATGTACACATCCTGAATCTTGTGGCCTCTGTCCTCTAGCTGGTGTCCTGGGATCCTAGCCGGTGTCCTGTGTCCTGAGCCTGTGGCGTGTAGGTTTTGTCCTAGTGCTGTTGTCCTCTTTGCTGTAGTCTGTGTCCTGTGTCCTGAAGCCCGTTTCTTATAGCCTGTGGACAATGTCCTGTAGTGTTGTCCTGTGTCCTGTAGCCTGTTCTCTGAGCTCTGGGGCCTAGGTCCTGTAGCCTGTATCCTGTGACATATGTCCTATGTTGTGTAGCCTGTGTCCTGTAATCTATGGCCTATGTCCTGTGGCCTATAGCCTGTAGCCTGTGGCCTTTACTCTGCAGCCTTTGTCCTGTGTCCTGTGGACTCTGTCCTATAGTTGGTGTCCTGTGTCTTGTTACCTCTTTCCTTCAGCCTGTGTTGTGTAGCCTGTGTTGAGTATGCTGTGTCCTGTAGCCTGTAGTCTGTATCCTTTAACCAGTGTCCTGTAATCTGTGGCCTGTGTCCTATGTTGTGTAGCCTGTGTCCTGTAGCCCAGCTTCTGTTACCTGTGGCCTATGCCGTGCAGCCTTTGTCCTGTGTCCTGTGGCCTCTGTCCTATGTCCTGTGTCTTGTTCCTGTGTCCTTCAGCCTGTGTCATGTAGCCTGCATCCTCTGTCTTGTAGCCTGTGGCCTATGGATGCATTGAGTATCCTGTGTCCTGTGTCCTGTAGCCTCTGTCCTGCCTCCTGTGTTCTGTGTCCTATGATTTGTATCCTGTGACCTATATCCTGTGCCATCTAGCATGTAACCTATGTCCCGTAGCCTGTGTTCTAGCCTGTGTCCTGGGTTCTGTGTTCTGTGTCCTGTATCCTCTGTCCTATGCCCTGAATGCTGTAGCTTGTGTTCTATCTTGTGTAGCCTGTTTCCTGTAGCCTGTGTGCTGCAGCCTGTATCCATGTCCTCAACCCTGTGTCCTGTGTTCTGTAGTCTGTGTCTATATCCTGTAGCTGTGCCCTTTGTCCTGTGGCCAGTGTGCTGTACACTGTGGCCTCTGTGTTTTGTCCAGTAGCCAGTGTCCTCGTCCTTTATCCTGCTCATGTAGCCTGTGTCCTGTGTCCTGAGTCCTGTAGCCTGTCCCTGTGTCTTGTAGCCTGTGTCCTGTGTCCTATAGTGTTTAGCCTTTGTCCTGTCTCTTGTAGCCTGTAACCTGTGTCCTGTAGCCTGTGGACTATATCCTGGAGCCTGTAACCTGTGTCCTGTAGCCTGTGTCCTCTGTTCGCTATTCTGTGTCCTATATCATCTGCCCTATGTCATCTGGGCTATGTCCTGTGTCCTGTAGCATGTGGCCTCTGTGCTGTAGCCTGTGTCCTGTGGCCTATGTCCTGTGTCTTGAGTCCTATAGACTGTGTCTTATGTCCTGTGTTCTGGGTCCTGTAGCCTGTGTATTGTGCCCGGTAGTCTGTGACAAAAGTTTCAGGACACAGGCTACATGACAGAGGCCATAGGCTACAGGACACATGACACAGGCTACAGGACAGAGGCCACAGGCTACAGGACACAGGACATAGCCCAGACGACACAGGACACAGGATATAGGACACAGAATATGGAACCCAGGACACAGCCTAGAGGACACAGGCTACGGGACACAGGTTGCAGGACACAGGACATAGGCGACAAGCTACAGGACACAGGACAGTGGCTACAGGAGACAGGACACAGGCTCCACAATCTAGGACACAGGCCAGAGGCCACAGGACAGTGGCTACAGGACACAGGCTACAGGACATAGCCTTTGTCCTGGAGCCTCTGTTTGTGTCCTGTGTCCTATGTTGTATAGCCTGTGTCCTGTGTCTTGTAGCCTGTGGCCTATGTACACATCCTGAGTCCTGAGGCTTCTGTCCTCTATGGTGTTCTAGGACCCCTTGCCTGTGTCCTGTGGCCTGTAGTTTTTGTCCTAGTGCTGGTGTCCTCTTTGTTCTAGTCTGTGTCCTGTGTCCTGAAGCCCATTTCTTGTAGCCTGTGGACAATGTCCTGTAGTCTCTGTGCTGTGTCCTGTAGCCTGTTCGCTGAGCTCTGGGACCTAGGTCCTGTGGCCGCTGGCCTGTGACCTTGGCCTTTGTTCTATGTCATGCAGCCTGTGTCCTTTAATCTGTGACCTATGTCCTGTGGCCTATACCCTGTAGCATGTGTCCTTTGTCCTCAATTCTTTGTCCTATGTCCTGTATCCAGTGGCCATGGCCTGCAGTCTTTGTCCTGTGTCCTGTGTCCTCTGTCCTATACCCAGTGGGCTGTGTCTTGCTCCCTCTTTCCTTCAGTCTGTGTCCTGTAGCCTGTGTCCTGTTGTGTATTCTGTGTCGCGTATCCTGTGTCTTGTAGCCTGTGTCCTATACGCTGTGTCCTGTGTCCTGCAATTGTGTCCTATGTCCTGTAGTCTTATCCTTTAACCAGTGTCCTGTAATCTGTGCCCTGTGTCCTATGTTGTGTATCCTGGGTCCTGTAGCCCGTCTCCTGTAGCCTGTAGCCTATGCCCTGCAGCCATTTTCCTGTGTCTGTGGCCCCTGTCCTATAGCCTGTGTCCCGTGTCTTGTTTCCTGTATCCTGCAGCCTGTGTCATGTAGCCTGCATCCTCTGTCTTGTAGCCTGTGGCCTAAGTATGCATTGAGTATCATATGTCCTGTGTCCTGTAGCCTCTGTCGTGCGTCCTGTGTCCTGTGTCCTATGTCTTGTATCCTGTGTTCTAAATCCTGTGGCGTCTAGCATGTAACCTATGCCCCGTAGCCTGTGTTCTAGCCTGTGTCCTGGGTTCTGTGTTCTGTGTCCTGTATCCTGTGTCCTGTATCCCTCTGGCCAATGCCCTGAATGCTTAGGTTGTGTTCTATCTTGTGTAGCCTGTTTCCTGTAGCCTGTGTGCTGCAGGTGTGTTCATGTTCTCTACCCTGTGTCCTGTGTACTGCAATCTGTTTCCTATATCCTGTAGCTGTGCCCTTTGTCCTGTGGCCAGTGTGCTGTACACTGCAGCCATGTCCTGTGACCTGTAGCCAGTGTCTTCGTCCTTTAGCGTTTGTCCTGAGTCCTGTAGCCTGGGTCCTGTGTCTTTATCCTGAGTCCTCAAGTTGTCCCTGTGTCCTGTAGCCTGTGTCCTGTGTTGTTTAGCCTTTGTCCTATCTCCTGTAGCCTGTAACTTGTGTCCTGTAGCCTGTGGACTATATCCTGTAGCTTGTAACCTGTGTCCTGTGTTCAGTATTCTATGTTCGATGTCCTGTGTCCTGTGTCGTCTGGGCTATGTCCTGTGTCCCGTGGCCTCTGTCCTGTGTCTTGGGTCCTGTAGCCTGTGTCTTATGTCCTGTGTTCTGGGTCCTAAAGCCTGTGTACTGTGTCTGGTAGTCTGTGACATAAGTCATAGGACAGAGGCCACAGGCTACAGGACAGAGGCCACAAGCTACAGGACACAGGACATAGCCCAGATGACACAGGACACAGGATATAGGACACAGAATATGGAACCCAGGACACAGCCTAGAGGACACAGGCTACGGGACACAGGTTGCAGGACACAGGACATAGGCGACAAGCTACAGGACACAGGACAGAGGCTACAGGAGATAGGACACAGGCTACACAATCTAGGACACAGGCCAGAGGCCATAGGACAGTGGCTACAGGACACAGGCTACAAGACACTCTATCCTATAGCCAGTGTCTGGTGTCTTGTTCCCACTTTCCTTCAGCCTGTGTCGTGTAGGATGTGTCCTGTGTCCTGTAGCCTGTGGCCTCTATCCTTTGTCCTATAGCTCTGTCCTGTGTCCCATAGCCTCTGTCCTGAGCCTCTGTTCTGTGACCTGTGTCCTATGTTGTAGAGCCTGTGTCCTGTAGCCTGTCCCTGTGTCCTGTAGCCTGTGTCCTGTGTCCTATGTTTCTTAGCCTTTGTCCTGTCTCCTGTAGCCTGTCCCTGTGTCCTGTAGCCTGTGTCCTGTGTCCTATGTTTCTTAGCCTTTGTCCTGTCTCCTGTAGCCTGTAACCTGTGTCCTGTAGCCTGTAACCTGTGTCCCATAGCCTGTGTCCTTTGTTCGGTATTCTGTGTCCTATATCCTGTGTCTCGTATCATCTGGGCTATGTCCTGTGTCCTGTAGCCTGTGCCCTCTGTGCTGTAGCCTGTGTCCTGTGGTCTATGTCCTGTGTCTTGAGTCCTGTAGGCTGTGTCTTATGTCCTGTGTTCTGGGTCC